AAATTCTTTCTGAGTCTCTTGGTGGAAGGCAAGAGAACAGAGTTCTGGGGGTGAGGACTCAGCATGCCCAGAGCCACAGTGTCCAAGGGCTCAGTGCCACTGTCCTCGTACTGTGTGTCCTGACCACCACCCGCCTGCTCTGGACCTCCTCTTCTTTACCTGTGTGAGGGGCAGTGTAGGATTTCAGAGCAACCCCAGGATAGCCCCCTGTTCTCCCCAGAGTCTGGGCCCAACCCCCAACCTGCTGGTGGCCAGCCCCTGGTCATGCCAGCCCCCTGGTGAGCTGGACCTGCCAGGGTGCAGAGAAGGATGAGGGCATGTTGCACTGGACCCTACTCTGGGAGGCCAGCTGTGGCTAAGCCTGGGAAGGGTCTTGCTGAGACCCCTGTGCTTGGCTGTCTCTGGCAATAGGCTCCCAGCCTTGGGGAAGAAGGATTTCTAAAACATGCCCTAATGACATGGAGTCCCAGCAGAGAAATGAGGAGCTCACCTTCTGGTGTCACTTGATATCTGAGCTCCCAGAGGCTGGAGCTGCAGGGAGAAGACCCCCAGCCTCAGGGGAGCCCACGCTGCCCCGGCAGGGTTGCAATGTGAATTCTGCCCATGTTGATCCTTCAGCAAGTTATCTACCACCACTGAGCCTTAGTGTCCCCAGTAAGATGAGCACATACTAGCAACTACAGCAGCAAGGAGGAGGTTCATGTGAGTTGCTGTCTGCAGAGCCCCCTTGGGGGAAGGCCCTGTCTGTCACCCCTTAGGTGACTTCATTTCCCAAAACAGCAGCTCTATGGGATAGTCACACCATCGGGCCCACCTGACAGTGAGGACTCTGGCACCAAGAGGCAGAGTGACCTGCCAGAGTCACCCATTAGCAAGCCACTTTGCTCTGGGAAGGAGGGGCCAGACACGGTTACTCCAAAGGCTGGGGAGAATGAACTCCAGGCTGCTTGTGCCTTGTTCCCCTCAAGAGTTCCTGCATGCTGGTGGTCCCCACGGAGGGCAGTTTTGCTACCCCCCAAAGGGGATGCTAATGGCATCTGATAGGTAGAGACTGGAATGCTGTTTCACACCCTAGAGTACACAGGATAGTCCCCCCAACAGAGAAGTCCTGGCCCAGCTGTCAGCAGAGCAGAGGTGGGGTAGCCTCTGCTTTCCTGAACTCAGTGAGCCCTACCTCTTACCAGGCCTGGGCTCTGTGCAAGCTGTCTCATTTCCTGTGTGTTTTAGAGGGTAGGGCCAGAGCAGTTGAAAGGCTTTGGCAGACTGAAGCCAACCCTCTAGGGCAGCGGTTCTCAACCTGTGGGTCACGACTTCTTTGGCAGTCGAACGACCCTTTCACAGGGGTCGCCTAAGACCATCCTGCAGATCAGATATTTACATTACGATTCATAACAGTAGTAACATTACAGTTATGAAGTAGCAACGAAAATAATTTTATGGTTGGGTCACAACATGAGGAACTGTATTTAAAGGGCCAGAAGGTTGAGAACCACTGCCCTATGCTGACTTTTAAAATGATAAACTGTGAAGTAGCAACGAAAATAATTTTATGGTTGGGTCACAACATGAGGAACTGTATTTAAAGGGCCAGAAGGTTGAGAACCACTGCTCTAGGGCATGAGCCTCCAGAGCTTCAGGCGACCCCTTTGGGTACACTGGCTCCTCCAGGGACTGGAATCATACCTCCATCTTTATCATCATTTTGTCATGACAGTGACAGGACAAGGAATATTTGTAGGCATTGATGGTTATGGTCAGAAGCCACTATACTCCTGCCTCTGCACTGGGTTGTACCCATTTTTCAGATGGTAAGCTCGGGACAGTGAGGTAACTTGTCTAAGAACATGAAGCAGATAAAGGATGAGCAAGTCTCACATCCCAGTGCTCTCATGCTACCCAGATGAGCCCCCACCTGTCACCTGCAGGTGCCCTGGTGAACTGCTGAACGGGCTTAGGGACTCTTAGGCAGAGCTGTCCCTGGCCTGGAGCAGGTGGGGGCAGAGACTGCAGGTTTGTCTCCATCTCCTGGACTGAAGGAGGGAAGAGCTTAAATAACTCAGCTCAGTCTGAAGCAAACAATGGAAATGTCAGAGTGCAGTGATTGCAACAGAGCATTTAGGGCAAGTCTTAATTGACTTTTCCAGTGTGGGACCCCAGAGGCTGTCTCCAGCTTCTGAAGTTCCCACTGCTGGGTGCCAACTAGGCTCAGAGCTGCAGCCCAAGCCTGGGGCTCCACTGCCAGCCCAGCCTGGCCCTGCAGTCTTAGGCAGCAGCGCCACCTTGTGACTGCCTCAGGGCTGCCCTGCCTCTCCTGTGACCCAACATCTACCCCTTTCTAGTGGTTGGGCGGGGCAAGTTAGTTCAATTGTCTGAGACATGGTTCCTCATCCTGAAAACAGGAAAATGACAGCACCTATATATTAGGACAGTTTTATGGTTTAAATTAGATGATGCATGTAAACTTGGAACCCTGTAATCAGCTCATAGTGACCCTGGTACAGGACCCCACAGCCGCCCCCAGCCCAGGATGCAGACATATCCCATCCACTGGACAGCTGTGCCTTGGCTGAGGGCTGGTGGTCTGTGAGTTCCATGATGATTCCTTGGCCACCCCCTTGCTGAGCTCACACATGGTCCCCAGCCCAGCACAAGTGGGAATAGGCTCAGTCTCACAGAGAAGCTTTCCTAGAGCCCATGTAGAGTAGAGAGGAGCAGGCAGCCAGGAGACAGAGGCCATTGGGCAGGGAGAAATGCAGCTGCCACAAGCAGATCCCTCAGCCTCTCTGTCATTTCTGAAGGAGAAATAGATGAGTCTCCTATCTTGGCTCAGAGGAGAGCCACTGCTCATATGCTGTGATACCTGGCAAGGGCACGGAATGGCAGGACCTGAGGTACCCCAGAGAGGGTGGCCCATCTGAGGGCTGCATGGGCACAAGCAGGTCGCAGAAGGATAGAAGAAGGTTGGGTCGGGGCACTATAGCCCAAGTGACCCACGTAGTTTAGACCTCCCTCCTGGGCCCCAGGCCTGCCCGGCTGCCCCCTGTCTCTGGACACCTCTGTGAGGAGCCTTTGAGGCATGTGAGAAGATCAGGAGGCGGTGTTCAGGAAGTGGGACAAGTAGGTCAAAGAAAGGTAGGGCCGGGGCTACAGGAGGCAGGATCTCATGGATTTTTGTTTGGCGGCTGCCACCAGGCTAGGCAAAGCTACTTGAGCCTTTTGAACCTCTGCTTCACTGACCTAACTTGAGTCTCAGGCCAGCTCTAAGAAGGAGTGGACAGAGCACCTGGACTGATCACCCATAAGCTGCCTCCCGAGAAGTGGGTGAGCTCCACAAAATAAAGCTCCTCCTGAGTGAGCAAGCTGGGCCCAAAAAGACCATCCCATTACTGTGTCCCTCGGCACTGCAGACCCCACACCTACCCTGCAAGTTTTCAGTCCTCCCCCCATGCCTCCCGCAAAGGCCCCATTGCCAGAAAACTTCCTTCTTGTTCTTGCACTACTCCGGTCTGTGACTTACTTCACTAGGATCCAATATAGCTTTTTATAACAGTTTCATCTCCCAGGCGCATTTGGCACTGTGCATGGGACCTGGGAACTGTTCTGCCATCTTGTAAGTCACTGACTTAGATGACACATGAGACTCCTGGCAATGACCAGCCCCTCCCTGGCCCTGGATTATTCTTTCTTCTGTGAAACATCCTGACTTATCAGCAATACCCTAGACCTCATCCACACAAGGAGAGATGTGTGGCTATGCTTGATGGACATATTTATGGGAGAAAAGAAACAGAATGCCAGCACATGTCCACCAAGGAATGCATATCACTCTACTTTACAGACAGATGTATTTAAAGAGAGATGAAGCAGCCCTGGCCAAATGGCTCACTTGGTTAGAGCTTTGTCCCAGGACGCCAAGGTTGTGGGTTTGATACATGGCCAGCGCACATATAAGAAGCAAGCAATGAATGCATAAATAAGTGGAACAACAAACCAACGTTTCTCTCTCCCTCTTCCCCTTTCTCTCTCTCTCTCTCTAAAATCAATCAACAAATCTTTTTTAAAAGAAGAGGAAAAGAACATGCCCAGGACTCTTATCTTGGAGGAAAGCACTGTGGTGATGGGAGTGTGTGGTGAAAGCAGAAACGGAAATGCCGTGAGGACTGAGAGAGCAAGGGCAGCATACTGCTTGTAGTAGCCTCCCTTCTGAGAGGCTGTGCATTTTTCTTAGGGAAGCAGTCTAGGCCAGGGGATTAAACACAGACTTTGGTTTTAGGCTTCCTGGGTTGGGATCTCAACTCTGCTTTCTAGCTGTGTGACCTGAGGGAAGTTACTTGACTTCTCCCAGCTGCAGTTTCCTCTTCTCAGGCTGACTGTGAAGCCTGAATGGCAATGCCACCGTGCAGAGTGTGGCTAGCCATGGGCACCACATAAACAGCATGTGACTGCTCTTCTCTGTGGCTCCTAAGGGAATCGGCTCTGTGCCCCTGTTCTTTATGGGGCTCCTTTGCTGTAATCTGCTACAGCTTTCCCCCTCTATTGTGTCATTTTCTGTAAATGTCTGCAAACATAGGGTTCTCTCCCCTTCTCTGGGCTGGCGCACCACATTGGAATTCCTTTCCCCCCTGCCCTGAACCCTTCCCAAGTTGTGAGTTCTTCAGGGTGCAGTCCACATGGCATTTGCCTCCTGTCCAAGGCCTGCACACAATAGGTGCCTGATAGAATGCAGGGAGCTCTGTAAATGGGGTGGGCTGAATGGACCTATCTGAGGCCCTGAAAACTCACATCTCACCTGAAAACTGCACAGTGACTTTGTGTGGAAACTTACTGGGGAGCCAAGAATGGAATCAAGTGGAAAGCAAGTCCTGAGAGGACTGGGCAGGGGCCACTGTGCCACCTGGACCAGGCCCCCAATGGAAGGGGTCTGTCAACACTATGGCCTGCCCAGCCCCCCAGTTAGTCCACAAAACACTAATCCCTCTTCCATCTCTCCTTCCCTGCAGTCCATGAGCCTTATTGAGATTGGAAACCCTTCTCAAAGCCTGGAGAATGTCTGCCGGTGGGCTTACCTCCAGCAGAAGCCGGACACAGACCACGATGAATACCATGATCACGCCATCTTCCTCACACGGCAAGACTTTGGGCCTTCAGGCATGCAAGGTGAGCTTGCTCGTACAATGGTTCAGAAAGGAAGGAGGCTGAGTATGAGCCACTGGCCCTACAGGGGTCCTGGAAGCCTTGGCCCAGCCAGGAAAGGGTGTCAGGGCAGGGAGCTGTGGCCACTTCAGCCCTAGAAGAGCGTAGGTCAGGGCTGATGAGCCCTGGCTCTCAAAAACCACCAGGGCCTCTGCCGTTTCCCCCAGGAAACCTCATGCCCAGGGAAAACATTGAAGATCAGAGATAGTGAAGTGGGCAGAGTCTAGGGCTGGCACCTGAGACATCAGATAGGATCTGAGACTGAGTTTCAGAGTTGTTGGTTGCCCCCATTTAAAAAAAAATTTGGATAAGATTTCAACCATTGCAATTTTACAGATTTTACTTTAAAATTCAAACTATGTAAAACTGACAGATCTAAAAGAAGAAATTGACAAGTGTACCATCATAATCAAAGATTTTAATGTATTTTACTTAGTAATAGAAAAACAACAGATAAGAAAATTACTAAGGATACAGAAGATTTGAATTTAAAAAGTGGACCTAGTTGATATATATAGAATACTGCACCAAACTACTTGAGAATACCCAATCTTTATGAGCACACATGAAAACAGATCCAAACAGACTATGCTGGGTCATAGGACAGTCTCAACAAAATGCAAAAGATCAAAATCACACAGAATATGTTCCCTGATGAGACTGGAAAAGAAAGATAACTTGAAAACATGTATGCCTGGAAATTAAATAATATACTCATAAATAATTCATAGTTCAAAGAAGTAATGGTAGAAATTAGAATATATTTTTAAACTGAATGGTAATGACAATCTGACAGGAATACTTGTGGATGTAACTAACACAATTATTAGATTGATGTTTGTAGCCTTAGAAATTTATTAGAAGAAAAAGGCTGAAAAATTAATCATAGAAATATCTATATCAAGAAATTTGAAAAAGAACATCAAGCTAAACTCCACAAATTATAAAGAGTTAAAATTAAAAACAATAGTGCAGTAGAGAAAATAAATAAAACCAAAATTTGCTTCTTTGAAAAAAATGGATTAAAACAGAAGAGCCTTTATCAATACTAATTTTTAAAAAGAAAAAAATTAAAATTTACTAAAATCACAAATGTAAAAGGACAGCATTATAAATTTTACTTTAAAAAGATAATGAGAAGGTATTTTGAACAGCTTTGTATCAATAAATTTGTCAATTTAGATAAAAGGTACAAATTACTTGACAAAACAAAATCTGAGAAAAAAAATAGAAAATATGAATACTCATGTCAATTAAAGATGTTAACTCCTGGATTTGATAGCTTGACCCAAGAATTCTTTATAAGTTCTAATGAAGTATCATACCAATCATATACAAACTCCCACACAATGAAAAAGAAGGTACATTGTTCCTACTTCTAGGAGGCCTGCTAACATTGAAACCAAAATCTAAGGACATTATAAGAACAAAAGTATAGGCCAGGAAGAGAAACCAAGATGGCGGCATAGGTAAACACTAGAAATTGCTGCCTCCCACAACAAATTCAAAAATACAACTAAAAGACAAAACGGACATCATCCAGAACCACAGGAAGGCTGGCTGAGTGGAAATTCTACAACTATAAGGAAAGAGAAAAGCACACTGAGACTCAGAGGACGTGCGGAAGTGCAGAGGTATGGAGGCGCATGCAGCAAGGGCTGGCAACAGAGGATGCAGTTATCTTTTTCAATCAGGAGGGAGACACAAGCTCCCGCTCTGAACTCCAGCTCCGGGCTACTCTCTGGGGACCCAGACTCATACGGGGAGAAACTGGACTGTCTGGCATCTGGCGGAACTTGAGGGCGGCTTTCTCTCAGAGGTGCTTGCAGCGATTACCGCGGGACACGGGAGGAGGGGAGCTATGGGGGGAAAAAATAGGAACAACTGTAATAATCTGAACAATAAAGATTTAATTAAAAAAAAACAATAAAAACAAAATCCCCTGAAAAAAAAAAAAGTATGGGCCAGTCTCTCTCATGAATATAGATACAAAATCTCAAACAAAATATTAGCAAATCAAATTTGGTGCTATATTTTAAAAAAGGTTGTATGTCACAATAAATTTCAATGTATTCTAGAAATGTAATGTTGTTTAACATTTGAAAATCAATCATTGTAATTTATCACATTAACAGAATAAAGGAGAAAAATTTATATGATAATCTCAATTGATCCAGAAAAAGTATTTGACAAAAATAAAGATCCATTTATGATCAAATGTCCTGTTGAATTAGGACTAGAAGAACTTTCTTAATGTGGTAATGGATATCCCCCCCCCAAAAAAAAAAATTATAATAAGCGTCATATATAATGGTGACATGTTGAAAACATTTCTCCTAGATTGAGAAAGGTCAAGAATGCCTGCTATCACCACTTTTCTTCAATGTTGTAGTGGAGGTCCAAGGCACTGAAATAAGACAATGAAAAAAATAAAAATATCAGTGTCAGAAAGGAAAAAATCACAGACTCCTATTTGAAAATGATATACTTGTGTGCATAGAAATTCCAAAAGAATATACAAATAAATTATTAAAATTATTAAGTAATTTTTATATAATCTTATCTAATAAAAGAGTATATGCAAATTGACCATCACTCCAACAAAAGATGGCCACCCCCATGTGGTCAAAGATGGCTGCCCCCATATGGACACAAGATAGCCACCACAAGATGCCCAGCAGGAGAGGGCAGTTGGGGGGGAACCAGGCCTGCAGGGGAGGGCAGTTGGGTGTGACCAGGCCAGCAGGGGAGGCCAGTTAGAGGCAATCGGGCCTGCAGGGGAGGCCAGTTAGGGGCAACTGGGCCAGCAAGGGAGGGAAGTTAAGGGTGACCGGGCCAGCAGGGGAGGGCAGTTGGAGGCGACCAGGCCTGCAGGGGAGGACAGTTGGGGGTGACCAGGCCAGTAGGGGAGGGCAGTTGGAGGCAACCAGGCTGGCAAGGGAGGGCAGTTGGGGGCGACCAGGCTGGCAAGGGAGGGCAGTTAGGGGCGACCAGGCTGGCAGGGAAGGGCAGTTAGGGGCAATCAGGCTGGAAGGGGAGCAGTTAGGCATCTATCAGGCTGGCAGGGGAGTGGTTTGGGGTTGATCAGGCTGGCAGGCAGAAGCAGTTAGGGGCAATCAAGCAGGCAGGTGAGCGGTTGGGAGCCAGCAGTCCTGGATTGTGAGAGGGATGTCCGACTGCCCGTTTAGGCCCGATCCCAGAGGGGTCCCAGATTGGAGAGGGTGCAGGCTGAGCTGAGTGACACACACCCCTGTGCACAAATTTCATGCACCGGGCCTCTAGTGTCACTATTAAAAATCAATTGAATGTCTGTATTCTAACAACAAACAAATTAAAATTTAGTACCACTTACAATAGAATAAAAAGCAGCAAATACCTAGGATTATGTCTTAAGAAAATATGTCCAAGACCTCGACCAGAAAACTGTAAGACATGTTGACAGATATTATAAAAGATTAAATCAATAAAGGGGTATACCATGCTTACACTATTAAAAATCAATTGAATGTCTGTATTCTAACAACAAACAAATTAAAATTTAGTACCACTTACAATAGAATAAAAAGCAGCAAATACCTAGGATTATGTCTTAAGAAAATATGTCCAAGACCTCGACCAGAAAACTGTAAGACATGTTGACAGATATTATAAAAGATTAAATCAATAAAGGGGTATACCATGCTTATGGATGGGGAGACTCACTATTGTACAGATACGAATTTCTCCAAATTGCTCTATAGATTGATGCTTCTGTGCTCAGTTCCAGCAGGATATTTTGAGGGTATTCAAAGGTTGATTCTTGTGTTCATACAGAAATGCAGTGGGTCAAGAACAATTGAAGAAGATGATCAAAGTACTCAATACTTATAAAAACAAAATAGTTAAAGACTAAGTTTGATGCAAGGATTGACAAATATGTCATTAGAACAGAACAGAGTGGAGAGTTGAACTTAAGCACAAACACTTGCTTTATTGCAAAGGTGGCACTGCAAGGTAGAGGAGAATGATGGTCTTTAAAACAAATGGTATTAGGTCAATTGACTATCCAAATTGGAGGAAAAATTAAGCTGACACACCTTCTTTGTATACAAACATCATATTTGTGGATATTCTAGATCTTAGTGGATTTTAGATCTACATATGAAAGGTGAAATAATAATACTTATAGAAAATAATATAGAATATCTCCATATTTTTAGAGTAAGAGAAGATTTCTTTAAAAAGAGATAAAAAGCACTAAACACAATGGAATATATAAATAGTACCACATTAACATTAAAAACTTTTGTTCATTAAAGACATCATTAAAGATACCTAGGAATAAACTTAACTAAGGAAGTAAAAGACCTGTATTCAGAAAACTACAGGACATTGAAAAAAGAGATAGAGGAAGATATAGACAAATGGAAGAATATACCGTGTTCATGGATTGATAGAAACAACATCATTAAAATGTCCATACTACCCAAAGCAATCTATAGATTCAATGCAATACCCATTAAGTTACCAATGGAATATTTCACAGACCTAGAACAAACTCTCCAAAAATTCATATGGAATAAAAAAAAAAAAAGACCCCAAATAGCCACAGCAATCTTGAGAAAGAAGAACAAAGTTGGAGGGATCACAATACCAGATATTAAGCTGTATTACAAAGCCACTGTTCTCAAAACTGCCTTGTACTGGCACAAGGACAGACATATAGACCAATGGAACAGAACAGAGATCCCAGAAATTGACCCAAGCCATTATGGCTCAATTAATATTTGACAAAGGAGGCAAGAGCATACAATGAGTCAAGACAGTCTCTTCAATAAATGGTGTTGGGAAAATTGGACACATACATGCAAAAAAAATGAAACTAGACCACCAACTTATACCATACACAAAAATAAACTCAAAATGGATAAAGGACTTAAATGTAAGATGGGAAACCATAAAATCTTAGGAGAATCCATAGGCAG